GGGGGTGGAGAGAGAGAGAGATGTTCTATTCCATTCTCACTTAAAGGCAAATTACATAATTTCCATTTTCTGAAACAGTATAGGAGCTGAACCATGGCCATCTTTCAAAACTTTCCCTTCTCCAAATTTTGCAGTGTAGTTCTCCAGCCAAGCTATGTGCACAAGCTTGCGTAGACTAAAGCACGCATAAAAAATACACATATTTGTGAAAATATCACAAAAAAATGCATTATGTTGGACCACATTTGACTCCTTGTTGCAGGAGAAAGGCTACTTGGTTTGGGATGGTCTTTACTGACCATTTCTCCCCCAAAACAGCTTATGGAGAATAAGTTGAAGGGGAGTCAGGGATGGAACTTGGACTTCCCATTCCTCTCCCTCCCACCAAATATGACAAGTCTTCAGCTAGTATTTAAGAGAATCTGCTCTACATTTAATCTGGAGAAGAGACATTTTAGAGGCAAGACAACAGCCACCTTTAAATATTTAAATATTTTAAGATGGAGTCAGCTTTTCTCTTGCTCAGGAGGGGAAACTTGAACCAAGAACTAGGATCTCAGCTAAACTTTATGGCACGACCTTAAGAAGTGCATCCCTCACTGACCTCCAACTCTGAGCAGGTATATAATGGACCACGAAGCCTTTCAGGTTTCTGCCAGTCTTTATGGGCTGCAAAACTCTTTGCTGCAACCAACTAACATGATTACCTCTCTGTACAGTTTTAAATTTTATCGCTTATATACAGTGGTACCTCGAGTTACAAACGCCTCAGGTTACAAACTCCACTAACCTGGAAGAGTTATCTCGAGTTTAGAACTTTGCCCCAGGATGAGAATGGAAATCGTGTGCCGGCGGCACAGTGGCAGCAAGAGGCCCCATTAGCGAAAGCACATCTCTAGTTAAGAACAGTTTCAGGTTAAGAATGGACCTCTGGAACTACCGTATTTTTTGCACCATAACACTCACTTTTTTCCTCCTAGAAAGTAAGGGGAAATGTCTGTGCGTGTTATGGAGGAAATGCCTACGGGTGGCGTGCCTATGGATTTTCCTCCTCTAAAAACTATGTGCGTGTTATGGTTGGGTGCGTGTTATAGAGTGAAAAATATGGTAATTAAGATGTGGTACCTCTAGTTACGAACCTAATTTATTCCAGAGGCCACCAGCCACGATTTCCATTCTCATCCTGGGGGAAAGTTCTCAACTCAAGGTACCAGTAACTCTTCCAGGTTAGTGGCGTTTGTAACCTGAGGCGTTTGTAACTCGAGGTACCACTGTACTGCCCTTTACCAAAAGACCACAGGGCGGTTTACATTACAACATAGGTTTCCAAGCTCCCCACCACCTGAGATGGGCTACTTGAAAACTGCTGGGGGTCTTGGCAGACCACCTACCATATTTTTTGCTCTATAAGATGCCCCTGACCATAAGACACATGTAGTTTTTAGAGGAGGAAAACAAGAAAAAAAATGTTCTGAATCAAATGTTGTTGAAGAAGAAGGAGGAGGGAGGGCATCACGACAAGAGTGATCTTATGGAGTGAACGCAGGCTGCGCAGCTCTCCCTCTTGCTGTTCTGGCTTCAGCGAAAGCAACGCAAAGCCTTTTCAGCAAAGTGGGACAAGCAAGAGGGAGAGCTGCGCAGCCTGCGTTCACTTCATATGACGCACACACATTTCCCCTTACTTTTTAGGAGGAAAAAAAGTGCATCTTATAGAGCGAAAAATACGGTAATTGTTTTCTGCCTGCTGTAGCAATGTGCTACAGTAGATGCTGTATGCTTTTATATTTTATTTTTATTGCTTGCTTCATGTATAGAGCATTTCATTGGAATACAGTTTGAGTCCACCTTGTCAGGAAACAGCACTAACACGCCTTTGTCATGTGCACCCAGTATATGTATACTGATGCCCTGATATAGCAGGCGTGATATTTCCAGCCCAAGGGCCACATTTCCTACTGGGCAGCCTTCCGGGGGCCACGTGCCAGTGGTGGGCAGAGCCAGAAGCAAAAGCAAGTGGAGCAATTGATGTAAATGTTGCCTTTGTATAACAGGCTAACATCTTCACACTCGCCCATTCCTCTCCACTCAGTCTAGTAAGAGGCATTGCCAGAGTTTCCAGCACACATTTGAGCCTGGCAAAGACATTCAAGGACGCTGTGAAGCAGGGTCAGTAGGGAGTGTGGCAGGGGAGTGGGTGTGATATGATGAGAATCTTTTCTTTCCCCAAGGAATGTATATTATATTCAGACAGTGTTAACCAAAGCACCGGAGTGGCATTCTTTGGTTGTGTGACCTTGGGAGAAAACACAACACAAGTGGTCTTTTGGCCCAAGCCATGTACTCTGCCCACAAAGTTCAAAACATTTTGTTATACATCCAATGAGTATGTTGCTGTTTTAGTTGCTGCTCCATATGGCCAGGCTGCTCCCGGGTTGTTACCAACACAGTCTATGTTGAAGGAAGGGGAAACTGCAGGTTTCAGCTGTCTTTACCAGACTTCTGCTTTTTTATTTTGCTGTGCTCCTCATGATAAGAGCCTAGGGAGGAAACATCCAGGTCTCTCTCTGTCCTGGCTTCACTTGGGAAGCTCTGACCTTCAGCTGGTACCTGCCTCACAATCATGTTGATATGGGATGCTTGCAGATATTTGGCACAGACCTGCTTGTCCTCTTAAGAGCAGGGCTCCATAACAGAGTCTTCAGGAAGGTCAGCTGAGAGAGGCAGCTCCAGACAAGAAGGCAAGGGCTTCGTCTCCAGGCAGAATCCTGGGGCATACGTGGTACAGCAGGCGGCTGTAGCCGGACATGATCATCATGTCCCCACTGTGCATGAACATAGCCACAGGGGCTTCATCTCGTTTCAGCCCCCCTAACAAAAATATGGATGACTGTCCAAAACTGAATGATAGAAGTGGCTGAAAACAGTCCAATTTGGACTCATCCACATGAATTCCCAGAGATGAATCAAAGTGATGATAGTTCAGAATCCCTGCTTCCCCTTGGAAATGTGGAAAACCACAAGCTTTAGCCCCTTGCTCCGAGAGGAAAGCCAAGTCAGATGGAAAGGGGATGTAGTGGTTGGCTGAATATTTATTTGTATTCCATTTATAATGGTGACACAAAGTCACCCAGCAAAGCTTTTCCAGTAAAGTTATTGAGGCCCATTTGCTGGAACTTTTGTTTCGCAACTGATACTGACTTTCCCCCCACAGATCAGCGGTCTCCGCAGAAGACAAGCACATATCCAAATTGCACACATTAGGCTTCTGGGTGTACGTCTTCAGGCACTGCTTCACTAGTGATGCTGGCAGCCTGGAATGAAGGGGTCTGGGGTAAATATAACCCCTGGGTAGTTATTGAGACCATAGGCTTTCCATTGGGTGGAAGCAGTCTTGCTCTGTAAGCATTGTGATCACTTACTGAAGAAAAACTCAGGGGAGAGCTGACAATCTGAGGAGTTAGTCAAGAATTCCACACCTCAGTACACCTTTTATGGGTGTCTGGCCTTTTGTTGTTGTTGTTTAGCTGTTTAGTCGACTCTTCGTGATCCCCTGGACCAGAGCACGCCAGGCACTCCTGTCTTCCACTGCCTCCCGCAGTTTGGTCAAACTCATGCTGGTAGCTTCGAGAACACTGTCCAACCATCTCGTCCTCTGTCGTCCCCTTCTTGTGCCCTCCATCTTTCCCAATATCAGGGTCTTTTCCAGGGAGTCTTCTCTTCTCATGAGGTGGCCAAAGTATTGGAGCCTCAGCTTCAGGATCTATCCTTCCAGCGAGCACTCAGGGCTGATTTCTTTCAGAATGGATAGGTTTGATCTTCTTGCAGTCCATGGGACTCTCAAGAGTCTCCTCCAGCACCAGAATTCAAAAGCATCCATTCTTCAGTGATCAGCCTTCTTTATGGTCCAGCTCTCACTTCCATACATCACTACTGGGAAAACCATGGCTTTAACTATATGGACCTTTGTTGGCAAGGTGATGTCTCTGCTTTTTAAGATGCTGTCTAGGTGTCTGGTCTACCCACCCCTAAAAAACCTCACCCCCAGCTCTGCCACAGGAGAAGCCTTCCCAACTGCATCCATCTGGCATTCCTGCTCAGCAGCAAAAAAAAAAAAAAAAAAAAAAGATGGTGAGAATCTTAAAGGACAAACAGAGAGGCTTGGAGGTCAGCATTCAGCCTCTAGGCTTCAGGTTCTCCACCCCTGCTATAGAGCTTTAGAAGTAATTTTTTTAATACTGAGCTCAATTCATATACACCTAGCTATGCAGATGATGTAGCATATATTCTTGTTGCATATAGGACACTGTATTTGAAGAATGCATGTTTTGACATACCCATATTTAAGAATTGGCAATATATTTATTTACTGTCAGACTGTTTGATGCCTTTTGTTGTAGTATGAAATTAAATGGAGCTGTGTCAATAACCACAAACAGATTTCCCTGCCTCACCTTTGTGAATTAGTCATATCTGCAGTGAATGATTCATATTTGCATATTTCTCCCTGTTCTGGTCTCTTGTATAGAAAAAAATAATTTCCATCACAATAATTAAGTTTTAAAGCTTTACTTCAGAAACTTGATTTAAATGTTATGAAAACAGTAATTGATACATTGCCTCAGTTATACATTTCCCTTCTTACATGCACTGGTCCCAGTATAAGGCTCTAGAACATCTCAAACCAGGTTTTCCAGCTAAAAATAAATGAACTTTGTCCCTTTCTGTTTCCTGCTTGCTTGCATCTTCGGCAACACCCAGAGAAGATCTGTGTCAGCTTGCAACAACTCTGTGACTCCGAATGTCATAAACCTAAATAAACATTATGAAATTCTATCCAAAGATCCATGGCCAGTCACAATTCTAGCCCATGGAATATATTGCAATGGAAAAATACAAGCTCTCATCATGTGTTCATAGATTTTTCACAGTAACTTAAAATACAATAAAATTACTATTTTATGTAACATTAAAAAACTTCAACAACCTTCTCTCTGTTGCAGGCTCAGCAGTGGAACAGATGCTGGTGTGGATCTCAAGCTGGAAATGATGTTCCGTTTTCGAAGAAGAACTTTTTTAGCTACAGGGGTATGTCTGGTGGCTCTTGCCTCTATACTAAAACTTTCCTACTTCCGGATACAGAAATACACTTTACTACCCAAAGTTGTTGCACAGAAAGAAAAAGACCTCTGCAAAGGATGGGTCACCAATAACTCAATCTCTGCTTTGAGTGACAACAGATCTTTTATTATCACTCCATACTTCGATGACAGGGTGGAAAAGCAGACTCGGGTGATTGGGATTGTACATCACAAGGAAGTTAAGGACCACTATTGCTGGTTTTGTTGCCCAGCTGATGATGTGGCCTTTATCTCTAAGGCTGCAATAGAGTTCCACTTGGATCGTTTTGGATTTCCATACGTGGTCACAGACTTGATTTGTTTGGAACCCTCACACTGTGAGCCTCGTTACATGGCATTGCAGTCATCTGGCGAAGGATCTGACAGTGGCATATCACCACTGTTTGAAATAAAAAATCGCCAGCGACAGAGCACTCTGGTGGACTTCACAGTGTGCATCTCCACCATGTTTGGAGACTATAACAATGTCCTCCAGTTCGTGCAGAGCATGGAAATGTATAAGTTCCTTGGAGCGCAGAAGGTGGTGATCTATAAGAACAGCTGCAGCCAGTTGATGGAGAAAGTCCTTCAATTCTATGTGGTGGAAGGGACTGTGGAGGTGGTGCCCTGGCCAATCACATCCTATCTCAGTGTTTCTAATGAATGGCATTTCACGAACGATGGGACCAAAATTGGCTACTATGGACAAATCGCTGCTCTGAATGACTGTGTCTACCGGAATATGTACAGGAGCAGGTACGTTCTGCTGAATGACATTGATGAAATTATTCTTCCCGTTCAACATATGGATTGGAAAACCTTGATGCAAAACCTTGAGAAACAAAATCCGGAGATTGGTATCTTCCTCTTTGAGAACCACATTTTCCCAAATAATGTCTTCACCTTCCCCCCTGTTCATGTTCCACATTCTTGGAATATGGTACCTGGAGTCAACATCCTGCAGCATGTCCTCCGAGAACCAAACAGGAAAGAGATCATAAACCCAAGGAAAATGATTGTTGATCCGAGGAAAGTGGTTCAGACGTCTGTTCACTCTGTCCTTCAGGGGATCGGAGGCAGTGTGGAAGTCCCTGCAGATGTTGCAATTGTCTTCCACTGTCGGTCTCCTTTCCAACCAAATTTGCCCAGGGAATTCCTGATCAAGGACACAATACTCTGGAGATATAACACATCACTAATAGGCAGAGTTAACAAAGTGCTACAGAAGATACCATTTGAAGTGGTGAAGTAGTAAACACAGGAAACATTACTGATATTTCTCTTTGGAGGTTCACCCAAAGAGTATTTGGGAGCAAGTTGTACAGGATGAATTTCCAATGCATGTTCAAGAGAGGAGTATCATGAATTCAAAAGGAACATGTTTGTTCTTGAGAATGTGATTCAGGGAGCTACAGAAAAAGTGATAGCATAATTTGTCATGCATTGCAAAAGTGCACTAGATATGGGAAATGATGGGTCAGAAACCCAGCGGTCCGTCTGTGTCAGCATCCCATCTATGATAGCAGCAAGATTTTTCTGAGGTCATGGACCAAAGTCAAGGGTAGCCATCAAAGGCACCATCCTTTTTGTACTGAGCTCCTAGCAACAATTTTAAGGATTAGGGTTATATTCACTTTTAGTTCTGCTCAGAATAGACCCATTGTAAAGAATGAACATGACTAAGTGAGGTCCATTAATTTCAATGGGTCTCCTCCAAGTGCAACTTAGTTGAATATGACCCATCCTTGATGAAGGATCTGTTTAACTCATCCAGTACTGTGTGTAGTCTGTATATAAATATATCAGATATAAATATAAATATAAATATCAGTGTCATACGTGCATATCATATATATAATTGCAGAATGCTTCTGTTCAAAATTCCAGCTGACCGTGCCCTTTTCTAGGTTATTCCATTCTGTCCATCTTCCCAGTATTCCATGGTCCATGAGTACACAGTCCTTGTGGTTTCTCCCAAATGAGCTGCTATCTCCTACTTTTATATGTGTGAAAATCTTGGCTACACAAGAAATGGCATGCACAGGCTGAATGATGGAAAAATAAAGAATAATACATCTAACACACAAAGAAAAAGGTGATGTGAATTCTTTACCACTTAGATGAGTTCTACAGTCAGCATAATATATAATTGTAGAAAAATTGTCACCTGCAAATTGAGTAGATTTGCAGGTTTGATATTATATTCATTACATAATTTATTCTAGTTTGACCTGTTAAGGAAGCAGCATGATACTATTCCGGAACCTTGTGTCAAGACCTACTGAGCATCTTAATCAGCTGCTCCCCTGACTGTTTTTGGTAGGCATTGCCTACACCTCCACACCCCCTGCCATGCAAATCCTTTAAACTACTGGGGGCTAGAAACCTATTTCTTCTCGAACAAACAACAGCAGAGATTCCGAGGCAGCTGCTTTCTGGACCCAGTAATGTGGTTCTGTTCTACCACAGACTTCCTCAGCTCAACATTACACACTGTATCCAGCTGTGTTCTAGTCAGAGTCGACCCATGGAAATTAATGCATATTTATGACCTTCAGTTTCAGTTTCCCCTTGAAACCTTGCTTCGGGCAGGAGCAGGGACATGCGCAAGGCCTGGAGGTTTCACGAGGTGGCACTGTGCCCCCTGCCCACCTGTGCAGGGGGAAGCCCAGCCGGCCAACGTGGCCCTTGGCATGCGACCCCCCTCAATGAGGGGGCTAGAGATGTGGCAGTGAGGCCAGGCCAGGTTCCGAGGAGTTTCCGGGTGACAGGCGGGGGGGACAAGGATTCCTGCGTGGAGGCACCTGTTTTGCAACCCCTCAAAATTGTGCACCTGGGGCTATGGCTTCCCTGCCTCCCCCCTTTGCCCCTGCTACCAGCTTTCTCCAACCTGATGCCCTCCAGATGTTTTTTGCCACAGGTCCCATTGGCCTCAACCAGCCCCAAGCCACATATTAACTGCAGTCTGCCTTTTTGTAATGCAGTTGATGAAAATACTTTCAGCGCAATCCTTGTTGTTGTTTAGTCATTTAGTCGTGTCCGACTCTTCATGACCCCCTGTACCAGAGCACGCCAAGGCACTCCTGTCTTCCACTGCCTCCTGCAGTTTGGTCAGACTCATGTTGGTAGCTTCGAGAACACTGTCCAACCATCTCGTCCTCTGCCGTCCCCTTCTCCTTGTGCCCTCCTTGTGCAATCCTACTTGTGTTTATTTGGAAATAAGAGTCATTGTGTTTAAGGTGGCTTACTGCCTAGCAAGTCTGTTAGGGATTGTGGTCCTACTCATATAGATACTGTACCTTCCATTCTAGTTCTGTCCTAAGGACTGGTGTTTTCTTTTAAAATTCCTGTTAGCCAGAGAAGTGAGAACTTCAGGATGAAGATTATAGCCAACCAATGTGGCAATTTTTTTGCAGTTGCTGCAAGAAATAAGAAAACCAAGAGAGGATTTCCTATAGCTGAATGCAGTTCAGTGGGCTCTCTGAATTGCATATCATACAACTACCACGTTTTATGTCTTTTGAATTCTGCTTTTGAGGTGCATGGTTGACCTATGTTTAGCACTCCTTGTTAAGATTAGAATCTTAACATCATTAAGGTGGGGCTGACATCTTATTTGGTACCATAGAACTGGAAGAGGGTCTTGTTTGATGCAAGAAATGATGGCTATGCTCTGCCTGCACAGTCGGAAGCAGCAATACTGAATACCAGTTGCTGGAAACCACAGGGCAGGAGAGTGCTCTTGTGTTCGAATCCTGCGTGTGGGTTTCCCACAGGCATCTGGTTTGCCACTGTGAGAACAGGATGCTGGACTAGATGGGCCACTGGCCTGATCCAGCAAGCTCTTCTTCGGTTGTCAAGTTATGAAGGGAGGCACAAAGGGTGGGGAAGCCTCCAACTCAGGGATCACATAACTCAGGGGTCCCCAGCCTTTTGGGGGCCTGTTGGCACAATTGGAAAGTTTTATGTGGGTGTCAATCACAAATGGGTGTTGCGGGGTGTGTGGCATAACACAAAATGGCAGCTGTGGGGGTATTATTATTTATTCATTATTACTATTGTGGTATGTTATTGCCATAAAAAGTTACTAATATTCAATAAGTGTGCCTGATTCCATTTCTCCTTATACTGTGACTGTGAGTTCCACAGTTAAACCCTAGATTAAATGGAAAGTAGTAATAATGTGTCTTGTTTGTTTGCAATTAAACATAAGCCTTTTTCCAACCCATCATGAATGCTCTCTTGTACCATGACACCCAAGAACAGGTTATTTTCTTAATTGTGTCACTTCTGAAGGTTGTTAATGTTGTTGGGAGTTCAACTCCCATCAGCCTGGAATGATGGAAGTCATAGCTTAAAACATCTGAAGCCAGAGTTTCCCCCACTTATGTCATGTTCTTAAGAGTTACTGAGAACTGATTTTTGTATGTCAATTCTCAGTGACAGTTGAATATAGAGAAAACTGAAAAGTGGGGTGGGGTATGCAGTGGTACTTGACATATTGGGAAATGTGGAAAATCAGCATCTGGAGGGAGACTTTTTGCCACATGTGAGAGATGTGTAGAAACAAGGAAGAAGTTACCGGTTATAGGAAGATAGTGGTAGAAGTAAGTGTAGAAATGTTCCAATCTAAACTATCCAGTGGTGTGCTTGCAGAATTATGAGCGTCAGGAGAAAAGCTAGTGGATAAAAATGTGTGCTGAGAAGAAAGTGGAGAGATTTCTTCTTCCTAGCCCATAATACTAGAACTCTGGGACATCCAATGAAGCTGACTATGGGAAGGACACAGGAGGACACACTTCTTCACACAGTGGGGAACCTCAGGCTGGAGTGGGTGTGTGTGTCAAATGTGGCCCTCCAGGCCTGTCTGGCCCTTGGAACATTCCCCAGGCCACACCTTTACAGCGTTGAGTGCTTTTGCATGGTTGGAATGTGTCCTTAAGCACCTGCTAATACTGTCTGGATGGAAGATGTGTATGTGCACGCGCACAAGTGTGCAGAAACCAGCCTACTATACTAAAGGTGACAGCTGCATTTGTTTCTCTACATGTTTTTATCTGGATCTGCTCACCACTGGCATGTGTCCCTCAGAAGATTGCCCAGAATATAATGCAGCCCTCAAGCTGAAAAGGGTTCCTCTCACCTCTGGCCTAAACAGTGCAAAATGCAAGAATCTGCCTTATTCCGAGTCAGACTAATGGTCCTACTAGTTGGGGGTTTACACCAACTGGCAGAAGTTCTTCCCAGAGTATCAGGTAGGGGACACCTCCAGGCCTACCTGGAGATGCCACCTTTTGCGGTGTAGAGCAAATACTCTATACTGAACAGGTGGTCTCATACTGTCAGCCAGGGGATGGTGGCCCGCCAAACACATTGACTTTATGCTGGTAAATAATGCTTGACTCTGGAACAGATTTATTTATTTATTTATTTATTTCATTCAATTTATGTCCTTCCGAAGGAGCTTAGGGTGGCATGTACAATACTGTGTGGCATTCCTGTCTTGCTTGTTGGCTTCCCATTGGGGCATCTGGTTGGCCACTGTGAGAGGTAAAGGTAAAGGACCCCTGGACGGTTAAGTCCAGTCAAAGGTGACTATAAGGTTGCAGTGCTCATCTCGCTCTTTAGGCCAAGAGAGCTGGCGTTTGTCCACAGACAGCTTCATGCGTCATGTGGCCAGCATGACTAAACTGCGACTGGTGCACGGAGGACCGTGACGAGTGCCAGAGTGCATGGAAAAGCTGTTCACCTTCCTGCTGCAGCGGCACCCATTTATCTACTTGCACTGGTGCGCTTTCGAACTGCTAGGTTGGCAGGAGCTGGGACAGAGCAATGGGAGCTCACTTCATTGTGCAGATTTGAACTGCTGATCTTCCGACTGGCAAGCCCAAGAGGCTCAGTGGTTTAGACCACAGCGCTCACCCACGGTGAGAATGGGATGTTGGAGTAGATGGGCCTTTGGCTTTATTGCAAGTAACTGTCCCTTCAGCACTGTGGTGCTTTATTATTTAGTCTTTCTTTTGCTTTCCAACTTATTTTATTTTATTTTAAGGAAATCTTGTACTTGATCTGGGGTGGGGGAGACGGCAGAAAAACTTCTATCCAAATCTGATGTAAGTTGGTGGTGGTGGGTCATTGGATATTTATGCTTTGCATGCTTGCTCTACACTTCCTCCTGGGATCCCAATAGCCTAGGAAACACAAACTGAGACTAGTATGCTATGCTTTTCTGCCTTGCACAGCACCTTACTTTGCAGAAATTCTCAGATGATGCTCTACACAGTATGGGAGTATACATTATCAGCTGCTAGTGAGAGAAGCTGCGCCACAGATGCCCAAGAAGTACAAATGCATTCATTTCCAAAAACTTCACATTGGGACAATAATTAAAACAGGCAGATTTTTTTTTTAATTAAAATTGATGTGTAAACTTTTATAGAACGTGCTGGAAGACTTACCACCTCTGCCCCAACTCCCTTCCGAGAAGCACAGGAAGATGGGAAGGCCGTCACCACAACCCTGCTGCATACCCTTACCTCCACTTTCAAAGTTCCAAACTCAATTCAGCTATGTTTTGCAATGGATTTGTAAGGGTCTGGAGCAAACTCAGTTTTGCCCTTTAAGTGTGGGTAACATGTTGTCCATAAAACGATTAAAAGAATGACAGTTTTTAAAATGAGTCATCATTGAAAAAGAAGCCTCAGAATGCCTGTGGAGGTAGCTGCCTCTGATGAGCACTGCAGGCACACACTGCTATAAAACTTCCTTCCAATCTTTCCCCACTCTCTTCTTGAGGAAAGTGTGGCTGTGCCTGCTGTTCCAATCTACTCACTGGCCTTGTTAACACCCTTGCTTTTTCTCACTAGAAGCAAGGGCTTCAAGAGCTCTTAAAAAAAGAGGGTTAAAAAGAGGTATACCAGCTGCTTGAACCTCTAATGACATGAGCTGTCCTTTGATCAGAAGCTCATCAGCCTGCACAATTCAATTTATCCCTGACCTAAGAATTTGCCTTATGAGAGAAAGCATCCCTCCTAAGGCAGCCATTTGGCTATTGATCTTGCCAGCTCGTTTCTATAATATCAAGGGTGGAGTTCAGGTTTGCGAGTTTCTCCACACCACCATCACAGTCCCAAGTGAATACCTGACTTCAGAAATCCTGGATGTTGAAGCCAGTAAACCACACACAGGTTCAATACCCACATTCATACACTTGTAAGTTCTCCAGGCTCAAGTGTTCATCCCTTCCATGCATGGCAAATAAAAAAGTAACACCGGCCCTAAAGAAATTAATTGACCAGCATGGTCCCCTTTTACAGAGCCATCAGATCTTTCACACTGGCTGTGAATAAGATGTGTATGTGTGATTAACATCCTCATTTCTTTTTCTTCCTTTCATAAACAAATATGGGTGTGGGAAGGAGATGTGTCTAATATCCTTTCTCATGAATACATTTCCAACCCGCTTCTGCCTCCACCCCCTCTCCAAAAAAAAAAAGGGGGTGGGAGAGAAGGAAAGTAAAATCATAGTTAAAAATGTGCTCAAACGTATGAGAATACATGAGCCAGAGGTGGGGGGATAGTCGCATGCTGTATGATGCATTATGCTTAAACAAAGTGAAAACAAACACCCCCTCTTCTCTGCAACTGGTTGCGACTCCCCTGCCTATTGAAAATGACAGAGAGGAAAAAAATGAAGGCAAAATGATTGTGCATTGCATGATGATATCTGTTAAGGTGAGCTGCTTTGGTTCATGCACAGTCTCCTCTGGCTGGCTCATGGCTGGCTGGCCCAATTGTGTGGTTTTGTTCGTCACGTAGTCCTGCTGGTTTGCTTCAGCCATGCTCCTTCCACAAAACCAGGTGAATACTGTGGTCTGGCATGCTGGTGGCAAAGACCAGGCCCATGTCATTTTGACCATCCAAACCGTCCAGCCAATCCATTTCCCCGGCCAGGAAGCTCGAGCCCCTCTTTGACTTTCTGTATTCTGGCAGTGGCCAGCGGCTGATCAGTTTTTCTGTCCTCAAGTCCATTATGTACAGGTAGTGGTTATCAA